GCAGTTAGTAAGGGACAAGGGGGGGAGTGAGGAAGTGGGTTTACTGGATAAATAAAGCTGGGTGTCATCCGCATAACAGTGAAAGTGAATGTTAGCCTGAAAGTTGGCAAAAGTTCCGACTTTAAGGGGGTTGAATATTGACGCAAAGCCCTGCATCACTGGTTTGATTACCTCATATGACGACTTTTGTTGCAAAACTGAGTTGGAAAATTCAGTGTCTTGCAGTGAGGAAAACAGCCTGGTAGAGAACTCACCTTTTATTATCGTTTTTAACAAAAACCAATAAGGTGTAACCTGTTTTTATAAATACTCTGGTAGCTCAAATTGCTAAGAGTTAGAAATTCTTGGTGTTTCTTTGTCAAACATCTTTTATCTCAAATTTGAATACCAGTGAGATTATCAGAAAGTCTCAACAGTGGATTTTCTTTCAGTATAAATTGAAGGACTTTATTAGTAAGAAGCTGTTAAATTCCTACTGTTGTGTGATAATAACAGATGCGGTTGCTGTATAGTTTGGAAAGGCTTCTGCTGAAAGGAACATTTTAAACTAAGTTTTCCTCTCTGTCACTCTGACTTTAGGTGTTGATTTGTAACACAAAGACTTCCGCCACCATTAAGCATCCTTTGCTTCCTGTTTGAACATCTGTCCTCTAAGAGGAGCAATCAGGTAATAAAAAGGACATCACGTAACAAAAAAGCACTTTCCTACAAACTACATTGACTTTACAATGTCTTTAACACGCAATTTACTCTTTTTTACTTTGGTTTTAGTATTTGTTTAGATTTTTTATGTGGCAATCTTGTCATATTTGACTGGGAGGCTTTTTTATAAATGGAAAATCATAAGCGATTTGCTCCTTTTTCCAATACTCACTTTTATATAGTAAATGATAAGTAAACCAATAGTGAAAAAAAGCGAAAGACAGAAACAACATATTTCTGCACAAACTGTCATCTAATGAGATGGTTTAGTTATAGACGGTACCAACACTTCAGAATGTTTGATGGGGAGTTCCATCTAAACTGCAGTAGATAAATATCTTCATCAGAAACCCATATCAGTTGACCCCAGGCAGAAACTACCAGCTGAACCAATAAGGGCCACAACCAAAGGGGACCTCTATTGTTTTTAAATCAGTTCAGACTCAGAAAAACACAAACTGACAAAAAATTATCCATTAACTGTAAGGAATCCAGTTTGTATGGGTTGTTTTTGTGTTTCCTTCTCTCCACCACCAGGTGGTGCCCTGTTCCTTGTTGGGCCTCCCTGCATACAGTACCTGCGGCACGTTGGATCATTACCGGAGGAGTATTTGAGCAGCGGGCTGTCACTACCTCGACGCCAGAGTGTTTGCCAGTTTTAGGTACTATAGCCAAGCTGAGATTAGCTGAGTCTAACCGAAGCTTTGTTTCTCCGAGTCTAATCTTGTTTTTGTCTTTGCTCTTCGGCAGGAAGCCTTTCCCGTGTATCTGGACAACCTGGACCTTCTCCCCATGGAAGGAATACTGAGTACACACTGAGCAGGGGTAAACCTACATATGATCGGTTCAAGTCCTCTTCAGAAAACCAAGTGACAGTCTGCTCCTTTACTCTTCTGGGTCCAACGTAAGTCTACCTGTCTGCTCTCTAACGAGTTCCCTCTCCTCTGGATTAATTCCCCACAAACTAGATTCAAGGATTAACAAGAGCCCCCTTCAAACGTGAGTTTCTCTCCAGCTATATTCAAGCCTCAGTCAATTTTCCTACAGTCCCTGAACTAATCCCTGTGACCTCTCCTTCAGACTTTCCCGTTCCGGTTCACCAGTCCACCCAGTTCCAGCTCCTACTTCTTTGTTTTATCAACATTCAATAAACCTGTTAAACTTTTTCCCTTGGTCTCTGAGTGGTTCACTGGAAAAAATCAAAATCTAGATAACTCATTTTTTCTTAAAATAAGTGCATTTGTTCTTGGATTGAGGAGGCAAAAGAGACATTTTGCCAATGGAACAAGACAATTTACATTTAAAATAAGAAAACACAATTGCATTGTCTTATTTCAAGTGCATATTATCTAATTATTTTATTTTAAGAGTAAAAATACTCATTCCATTGGCAGATCATTTTATTTATCTACTCAAATTAAGGGTAAATACACCTAATTAAATAAAAATTTACTTTTTTACGTTTTTGCAGTACAATGGCACATTTAGTTTGCGAATTTGGTTTAAGAGAACCAGTTCTTGTTTAGACAGAAAATAGAGGTTGGAGGAAGTGCGCCAACAATCGTCTTCCTATGAAAAATATACTGAAACTGTAAAAACAAAACAGACTCAGTTTAAACAAGCAGATTACCTTTGTGTCCAAATTTAGCTTAAAATAAAATAGACAGCTGAAAATAATAGTAGTATACATAAATTTAATTGAATAAAATAAATTAATTAAAAAAGGAAATTCAATTAATCTGAAATTAGTTTTTTCAGCTTTGGTGAAAATTGCAAAACAAGGAAACAGATTTAAAACAAATCATGTTTTATTACTACATTACAGCAAACTGTAGGAAGTACCACAGCAGCCTGAAAGGAATAAATCTTGTCTAAGTAACTTTTATTGTTATTGCACTACACTACAGCAGAGCGTACGGCCGGACATTCATTCAGTTCCACGTTTTATTTACAAGAAAGCAAAAATGAACCCCCTTAAACAAGGAGAAATGTAAACAAGGTATCCTTCCTTACGCTCTGCGGAGCAGCTCCAGTCACCTACAGAGGAATAGTTTATTTTTGCTTGTGATCTACATTCAGAAGCTGAAGCAGAATACTGCTAAGAGTCTGATTAAGAGAGAAAATATGGAAAAAATCTGCTGCTAAAACTTCCCACGTGCTGAGTAGATCTAACAGAGGCTCCACGGATCACTCTTTGCTGGATGCAGTTCTGGAACCGTCAAACAGGAGGTGCTGGTCTAACATGGCAGGAGGAAGACGTGTCGGTCCAGAACATGCAGAACCCTGGATGCTCCTCCTTTATTTTGAAGTTACCAGATGAGAGCCTAAAAAAAAAAGGAGAAAGGATCTGAGCAGAGAGATCATTCACAAACCCAACTTATCGACAGAAAACAATCTGAATGTTGGTCCGACACAACAATCACTTCATGTTGTAGATTCTGTTTTAGTGAATTCGGCTGTAAAATGTAAATTTCTGAAAATATAAAAAAATGAATAAGATGTAAAATATTTTTTTTTAACTGGTGCAATGGAGTTAAACCATAAATAAAAAGTACCATATAATTTACAGGTCTATGGAGGACTATTGGCCCTAAATCTACTAAATAAATAAATATAAATAAATAAAAATAAATTATTTTATCATTTCCTTCAATAATCAAATAAATATATATAAACAATTAAAAAAATAATTCAATTTACTTTAATTTTAACTTTTATTGTAGTTTATTTTTTACATTTTCTTATGCTTATTTTTTTTATCACATTCTTTTTAATTATTATTTTTTTTTATGAAAAAACTAACTTAATAAAAAACAGATTTCAATGGTTAAAGATATTGAAAGCTAATGCTGGAAATGATGGAAAACATCTAATAAGCTGACCTTCAGAAATATGCAATTGGCACCTATTGGTTTCAAGGTTCTAAAGAGGATAATTACTTTCTCTTACAGTCCATCCAAAGACAGTAATATTCATGGCCATTCCTTATGGTGAGCCTTGTTTTTCTTCTTCCTCTCATCCTTCTCCTTCTGCAGCCTCTCCAGCTCAGCCTCGTACATCATCTCCTGGATCAGGTACTTCTCTCTGCGCATCCTGTCCCTCAGGTCCTTGGGTAGGTCCGGGATTAGATAAGCAATCAGGGTCTTAATGGCGAAGACCATATGCTGTGAAAACAAACCTGCTGTTAGAATGCTATGATTTCCAGAATGTGAAATTCTACTTGACTGGTGGGTCAAATCGGTGGTACTGATCTAATACACTGTATGGCTGAGGTTTTTCAAGCTTTGGTTTCAACATCTGAATGCCATCTAGTATCAAAGAAACCTTAATCTAGTCATGCTATAAATCCATCCCAAAAAAAAAAAACATTTTATATATATATATATATATATATATATATATATATATATATAAATATAAAACGGACAGAAGTGAGTAGCAACACTACTTTACATAAATTTCTATTTTTTAATGTTGTATTCTGTAGATAAATAAATAATGCTTTCCTTAATCTGTGATCATAAGTGCATCTATATCTTCGTATATAAGCGTTCCTGGAGCACAGCGTGCACAAGCAAGCACCTGGTTCACCTTCCTGTACCAGCTGCTTAATCGCTTGCCATCTCGCCCTGTCTCCCTCAGCAATTCCCCGCGCCATTTAATTTTGAGACCTTTATCTGTGGTTGTGACATCTACCCTGGAGTTCATGAACTGCATTGTGCCCACTCTATGCAATTCATTTCTCTATATTGTTCTTCACTCCAAACACAAAGTTTAATTTATTTATTTTTCCACTTTTTTACACATCTCTCCGTTGAATAGAGCCGTAAATGGTGCAAGGTGGCTTTCCGTCTGAAACTTCAGCACTGTACCACAATCTTGCGACTTGTGCAAGAAACAAGAGGAGGAGGTACGCGCTTTCCTAAGATCCGCCCCCTTCTTCTTCTGATTGGTTAATACTGTTAGTTTCAGAGCGCGCCTTTGCTACCATTGGCTGACAAACTCAAGAGGGATTTCAATAGTCTTTTAAAAATTTATTTACCATCAATTCATTTTCAAGTGATTTTTTTTTTTTACCAATGAACGTAATTGCTACGTTATAATTGATTACAAAAGAAATGTATAAGTTCCTAAAACAAACAAACAAAAAAAATTTTTTTTTTCAGATATTTAGGACCTTTTTGTTCTGTATAACAGAGAAGATCCATCTGTCACTACTTGGTTTTATTTACAAATGTTAGCATTTAAAAGACTTAGCATGTTTAGCTAAAAAATAAACAGCTTATAATAGGTTTCAATAGGAAGAGAGACAAAGTTTGGCTTTAGAAATGCCAAAACCAGCTAACTTTCAAATTTGAACCAGTTCACTGATCTGGAGAACCAATGAAATAATGAAAATAGATTTTAGACAGAATTTTAAGTTGCTTATTTGATCCTTATCTTTAATTGCCAGCTATAACAAAACTCCTTCTTGTAAAGGCACAAAAATCCTTTAGATTGTCATTTTTATTCATTTTAACTGAACTTTTATTTTGTTAAATTAATATAAATTGTTTATGCAAACATTTTATTGGTTATGTTTCTTGGGATCGCACAGATCTTCTGTGAGCACACTAAAGGCTCTCCTGATATGTCAGTCATTATGGATATCATTTGTTATATAAAATAATGTTAACCTCACTTTGTTTCGCAAGGGAGGGTGGAGCACAGGCCCCTTAGATAATTGGAATATCAGAAAATGTCTTACTTAATCCTCCTTACATTTTCATTCATTGCTGTAAGACATGACATGCTGGCCTCAACTTTTGCAGATTTTGTATTCTACCGATTCTAGAGATTGTCTGTTGGTGAGGATGGGGAATTTTTAAAGGAAAATAGTATTTCATTTAAATAAGAAACAAAAAAAAAAAAAATCTGGTGTCACGGTTTTCTTCATTTGCAGAGATATGTTGAAGGACCTTGATTAACTGATTAGGGATCAGTAACCTGGTCTAGGTCCAGCAGAAAAAGAGTCAGCTGCCATATGATTCACATCATAACAAAAAGTGATGACAGACAATGAGCAGCAATTTTGAATGACAATATTTTAACATTTCTCTACACAGACCTCAAAAACAATAATGAACGCCAGCCGGGCTGCCAGGACGTGCCAGAACTGTAGAGTGTAGGCATAGGGCTCATCTGAGTCTGGAGGCTCCCTGTAATCCCGATACCTATTGTGTAATAAAAAAAAAGAAAAAGCATTGTGGTCACAAAAGCAAAAGATTATTAAAATTGTTAATAAAGTGGAAAATATTACAGATGCACCAAAAATCATCAGTTGAGCTTAAGAACCAAAGTTTTTTTGCAGTACCCATAACACTCTTCAATGTGGAAGTTGTCACTGAGGAAAAAAAGGGTTGAAGTTGTATATTTTCTGCAGTTTTAGTTGTTTCTTAACGTTCATCTGATATAAAAATGCAGCAGGATGATAAATTATACCCATCCTGGGGCTATTTCATTTGATTGGCTGAAGAGCAAACTGACCCACAGCTAACAGATACGACAAAGTTCTGTTTGTCTGTTCAACCCTTTCGAGGCTCTGAAGTCTATGTCACAGAACAAGCATAATTTAGAAATGTTGGTAGGCTTTTGGACATATTGGAGTTCAGGACAGGGTCAATATTTTCTCAGGAGTACACAAAAAGAGATGAAAAGTTCCAGATGTCAAATGTCAACCTAAAGTTTTTTTATGCTGTTAAACTGACAAACATCTAAATTCAGAATTAGCAATGTTTGGCAGGTGCAAAAAAGATCAGAACTCTGCAATAAAACTCGTTTTTTTTAACGTTTTATTCATTGTCCACGTACAAACTTTACCTGCAATACTTCACAGCTTCTTCAAAAAGTTCCGAGCCATTAGTTCTTGGCTGGGATCTCTTTTCAAAGTCAGAAACTCGGAAGACAGACAGACTGGCATTAACGTAACCCATCATACACCTGAGGAACACAAATAATATCATTCAAAACATGCATTGTCTAAAGGGGATATCAGACGCCATTGTGGTTTCTGCTTCCTTGATGGACTCTTACCCCTCCCCTGCTCGGCCCTGACCAGCACATGGTCCGTACTTGTAGGCGTAAACTAGACGAGGGATAAAATCTGAGGTAACGGCAATCACAAAGGCGTTGGTGATGACGGACAGGATGCCGATACCCTCCAAAATGCCATACCAGATTCCTGAGACAAACAGAAGTTCGACATGGAGAAGACGAATTTTTAAAAGAATTTACATAGCCCTGCATTTACCGATGTCTTTGGCTTGTGATGGCAGAGGTCGTCGCCACTGTGTCACAAACTTGTAAGCATCCAGACGGATCTCAATGATGTTGTTGATCAACGCTAAGAGGGGAGCAAGAGGAAACGCTGCCACAAAGATGGTGGTGAAGCCAAACTGCAAAACTGAGACAAAGAGAGCACATCTTCAGGAGTCTGTTGACATTTGTTTTTTTAGTGGCTTAGACATTGAGACCTTCCATTATCTAACGCATCACCTTTCAACACTGCTCTGGTTTTCCTTTGTTTATTCCTCAGTTACTTTACTTGCTCCACTATAAGACTGCATCCATTACTCCTTAATTGATTCTCAAAATATAAAGCATGAAAACAACCTTCCTGTGTGATTAATGTGTGCATGTTTGCTGTGGTTTCCTGGCTTGTTCTAACACCCTGCAAACAAAGTCAATATCATTTCTGAACATGAGTCATTTTTAGATCCAACATACAACATTTCAAAGAGACATTCTTAGATATGGAGGAGGAAGATCTGAGGGTGAGTTCAGAGAGGCATGGTGAGGCAAGACTGATTTGAAGTGAATGCAATATTTAATAGGACGCAATAGAAGTTCTTAATTAAAAGGAGTTATATGATTCGCAGATAGGGTTGTGGTGATGGAGGTGGCAGAGTTATGAGACAGTGAAAATTTATGTAGGGACTAGAGAGCAAGAGCACAGACAGGAGTTGAAATAATCAATGCAGGATGGTGCTACGGATTAAATGAGTATAGAGCTGGGAGTCAGGGATGGACAGAGAGGATTTCTGTAAAGTAGATGGAAATTATTCATGTTGGCTGTGCGGTAAAGTTACACCCCTGATGGCAGCTGTACCTTTATTCTGAAGACAAAGGGAACATAGTCCCTGGTTTATATGACAAAAGGAGGCCTTAGAAAGAACTTTTGTCTTTTTTTTTTTTATTTAGTCAGAGTTTAATTTGAGCTAACATTTAATTTAAGACTTAGAGGGGATGGGTTTAGAGCTGATTTCTTCTGGTTAGCATTTGAAATGAAAGGTACCTTACAAAGCGGGGCACCGGCGTTTTACTCTACGTGCTGAAAGTGCAAACCTGACTGACGCTGAATTCATTTATTTCTTTAAGCTCTTTTAATTCAAAACCTAATGCAATTTTTTTTTATTACAGTTTTAATCGATACTGTGATTTTGAGGCTTTTAAAAAAATAAATTACCACTGACTGCTATTGCAATAAGGTCTATCTCCCCTGAGGGCAAACCCTTATCATATTATTGTTGGGTGAGAAAACTTTAATCCGGGGGAAAATTAATTTATTATGACTGGGAAAAACTTCTGTTATATGGAGGACCAACTCTGCCATATCTAAAAAATAAATAGATAAATAAATAAATGCTCAATAAATTAATAAGCATTAATTTAATCGCCCCCACAATTACAATAAACAAATAAATGTAGGCAGAAATAAAATTATACAGTGAGACATAAATGTATATATCTCTTCTAATTAGCTTCTTTATTTATTCGCCTTTGTAATATATACCTTATTTTTTTTTATTGTCTGTTGTAATCTTCAACTTTATTTATTTATTATTTATTTTCTTATGTATTTAGTTATGTGCATGAAGTTGACCCTCTGACACCCCCCTCCTCATTTACATTATGAGGCAGAAATGCATATAGAAATGTGAACCCGACAGGCAGAAATAAATAGCTTTGAAGTAAAGAGGGTAAAAAAATACAAAGGAAGAATAAAACAGACAAAAATATTATATCATGCACATAAATAAATATATAAAAAAAACTATAAATATATAATATCTATATAAATAGATAATAATGGACAATAAATAAATAAGGCAATTGTTAAATTACATATTAGGTAATTATTTATTTATTGAGCATTTATTTATTTCTGTATTTATTTTTAAATATGGCAGAGTTGGTCCTCCATACTGTTTTGCATGTCCAGCACTGATTGTAAAACTGGGAGCAACATGCTCCTGCAGTACAATACTCCTGACGGAAAATAAAAATATACTCTATGGAAGATAATACAAAGAGCAGTAATATTGGACGTATTAATTGGGGCCGAAAACAACATCTTGAAGAACACAGTTTAAACTGTATAATTGTTGCCCTTACTGTAGAAATGAGCAGTTTGTTTATTTAATAAAATATAATATAAATATAATAATAAAATAAATAAAATAAATATAATAATAAAAGCTTTAGGACTTCTATGTTCCAACAATATAAATGTTTAGGTGAAGGCTTCTTAAGGTAGTGGGTCTCTATATTCACTAAATTCACAAATCCAATAAACCGGCCCTGTTTGGAACATGTAGGTTACTTAATTTAAGCTTCATATATTAAAGAGTTTGATTATCAAAAACAGTCTAAAGGGTAACTGTTCACTTAAAAAACCAGTATAATCCTGTGACATTTTTAAGAGTCTTATCATGGACAACAGCTCTATTATTTAAGGAAAAAAATGTTTTTTAGTCTGACTGAGCTGAGAGTTTTTCCAGTCCAATGCACCAAAAGAAATGTGTGTTTATACATCATGTGCAGAGAAAGGAGTGCTGAAGAAAATTGGAGCAGATGGATGTTAAAATTACGTAACATGTACAACAACTGAAGCAGATCAGCTCCATAATGAAAAAATGTTTTATTTGAAAATTTGATGATACCATAAGGGATTAAACTCTGTAATGCATTTGAGGTCATCTCAAAATCCAGTGCTGATATTAACTATTTTCTGAAAGGCAGATTACAAAATATATACAGAAGCTCAACAGAGGTTCAACTTACTCATCTTCAAGTATTCATCAAAGAGACCATAAGCATTCATTGACTGCAGGTTGTAGTCCTTCTCCCATTGGGGGAGGCTGGCCTTGGGGATGTGGCCATGGTCCCTCTTTAACCTCTGTCGAGTCCACCAGTTTTGAATAAGCCTATAAAAAACGATGGTAGATTACAAGAGCATCTTAAAGGTATAGAGGAGGATCTTTTATTTCCGGGTGGATCATCTAAATAAGTGGTCCTCCTACATGTCAATCATTCTGGTGACATGTTTAGGTAAGGATGCCCAACGTGCTCGTCCCGTTAGGTATCTTTTTCTGCACATGCACACTTTCAGGCGTAAATATGTGGTGAGCTACGGTTTGAAACAGTCATTGAAGGTCACCTTTCTCACCACGGTTCTGTGAAAATGGCCAATGGTCGTAAGGGAAAAAGAGTCTACAAAGTGTATGAGAAGCAGAGAAAGGCCTCAGAAGAGTCAAATTTATCCTAGAATGCTTTTCGGGGAGAGCTCTCCTTGCAAACATTACTTGCTGTCACAGCAGCCCGCTGTCACCATAGGCTGTCGCAACCTGACAGCGGTGACTAATAACAAAGATGGCGCAGCCACCACGCAGTGGAGGAGGAGTTACGTGCCTTATTTGTGTCCTAAAAGCATTAATATGAGGTCCAGTTTCTGGCCGCTGTTTTCATTTTTTTCCTCTGTAATGCATGATGCCAGCAGATGGCAGTACTGCAGTCAGGTCATTTGTTGTCTCTGCAGTGGTCTGTCATCATCTGGGATCTTATTTTTTTTATTTTATTATTGTTTCTTTTTCAATAGTCTTGAAAAGTGCTGTTTTGCTATCGATAATTTTTTTAATAACTTGAATTAAAGCGCGTCAGCGTGGCATGAGTGAAATATACGATAGCATCTCATTGGAGCATCTTTTTTAGATCACCAAATAGAAGCTGTTGGCGTTAACACTTTCCTACAGATCCATGATGCAACAATCAAAGATTAAAAACAGACTAAATTAAACCTGATAAAAGTTGACAAAGAGCCCACGCCATGCTTAGAGCTTAGCATAGCTTAGAAATTATATTTAGCAGCAAAAAACAACAGTTTTCATCAGCCATATTCTTTAAAATCCCTTTCACATAAGATCAGTACTGCCCCAATGTCTCCAGGAACCATTGCCTTGAATGGTGCTGAATTGTGTAAAACTTTGGACAACCTACATCCTATCTAGGTACTGTGATGTTGATACTAATTAAATACATTTTTCTTATTGCTTTCTCATGGGCCCTGACCATAGATATCATATTTATATCAGTATGTTAATTCATTGTGTTTGGAATTGCCCTTTTTTTTACACAGAAGGTTTATACACCTCTACCATCAGTTTCAGCATTGCTGTTAAGAGACAAACCCTGTCAGACTGAAAACAGCCTTTTTAGCACTATTAGAGGTTCATAGTGTCTTAAAGTGTATCATCCTGCACCAAAGAAATTTCATTGACAAGTTATGTGTTTGCATATCCAAGAAACTGATCACTCTTAGTGAGGGACACAGAGAATGCAAATGTTATTCAGTTTTGTTCTTTTCACTAATCTTAGATTTTATTTTTAATTTGTTGCCTGTACAATTTCCACCATTAACCAGTAGTTGTATGCACAATTTGGAGTCGTGTGCTTTTTATATAGTTTGGAAACCCCCTCATTAGACAATATTGATTTCTATTTGAAAGGTGGTTGGTGGTGATAACTGTACTTCCACATCACACCCAGGAGGCAGGCATGCTGCCAACTGAATAATTTTGTCCCCAATATCTCACCAAAAAAGTATCACTAAACAATCCTTAGGTTAAACACTCTTGTCTTACATCATGTGCAATGGGGAGGCATTTTGCTCTTGTTGCATCTTGAACATCATGGAGAGACTATCTAAGTAATGGTGGGTTTTTCCTGCTGTGTTATGTTTTAGTTTGGTATAAAGAAGTTAGAAAAAACCTGATTGTTTTGGTTTGAAAGGGGGATAATAAAACAATGGCAATGGGTCATAAACTGTGATGTTCTCAACAAGAGCATAAGGATCTTCTAAATATGCAAAAGATAAAGACAAAAGTTGAGAAAAAACGAAAAAAGGACCAGAACCTACGGGTAGCCAAGCTCCATGAAGTTGTTCCATGTCTGTTTTAGTACCATAATGATGCCCATCTGCATACAGAGGTCAATCAGACAACCGCTGGGATGGCACTGCAGCGGAACAAAAACAAATCAGATCAGCAATTATGAAAATAAAAATGAAAACAAGAGAGAGTTATCATTCATATGCTGGGTTTAATTAGTAACTCTGAGTTTGAAATATGTAGCATATCAGTACGTTGGAAAAATGCATATTTTTAGAAACATTTTTCTCAAGAATCTGTCACTGTCATCCTTACTTTGGGGAAGATTTATGCTTGCAATTTTTTGCTTTTTACAGAAAATGTACAAAAAGCAACAGTGAGTTCTCCCAGGTCAGTCATTTTTCTGCAAAACAAAAGGCAGACTAGGGCTCCACTTTATACTATTCTTCTTATTACAAAGGAGTTCTCCAGTTCTGCAGCTGCAGAATCACAAGTGGGAGTACATTAACGCATCAGTGAAAAGTGTCTTTTATCCCAGTAGACTACTTCAGTATCTATTTTTTTCCTTGCATGTTCCACAAAGTACCACTTATTGATGATTAGGGTTAAATGCTTTTTTGTCTGGGCATACAGTAATAGCACAATGTCTAATTTCTAACTTTATAAATCCATAACTCTGAAATGCTCCCTCAGGAAAAAACAAAACAAACAAAACAAAACCTCATTACTCACTTCCTCCAGTTTCCAGCGATTGATGAGGCGTAGATATGCACCTGGCCGACCAGTAAATCTGTCAATAAGATAATATTCCTGAAAACCACAGTCAAAGTTTTGGAAAGAATCATCTAGTATTTTCTGAACACTAGGCCAACACTCCCCTAAAGCTTAAACAAATTCTTATTATTGCCTTATTTTATATTTTTATGCTGAATTTTATTATTTTATCATGTTTTATTATGTTTAGCTATGTTCAGCACTTTGTTTTCAGTTGTAGATGTTTTAAAGCCCTCTACAAATAAAAATGAGGACGATGATTAAGTCAGTGTAACAAATATCTGTTTGATCTAATTCATGGAACTACATATGTTAGCTTTTTAACTGATATTAGTTGTTTCCAAACAGGATTATATCAAATGAGATATAAAGAATAATTAATTCGCTTGAAATAATGCTTATTTAACACTTAGCCAAATGGCAGATAATTCAGATAATGAATGTAAAAATCTATGCTGTGTGTTTTCCTGCATATAAGGAATACTATGTCTGCTCTTTATGGTTTTATTTAATCGAAAAAAAAAAGAAAAGATTTTTGTTTAATTAGGTTGCTATATCCCAAAACCACCAAAAGGGGGTGGTGACTTTTCCTCGTTCTGCGGAGGATGAGGAGAGCCCACCTGCCCCAACCATCCTCACCACCTTCTACAGAAGCACCATAAAGAGCGTTCTGACCAGCTGTCTCACTGTGTGGTGTGGAGGCTGCAGCGCCTCAGACTAGAGGAAGAGTGGTGAGAACAGCAGAGAAGATCATCAGGGCTCCTCATCACTCCATTAAAGACATTTCCTCCCAGTGCTGCGTGTCCCGAGCCTGTAACATCATAATTGACCCCTCACACCCCCACCATAGACTGTTCTCCCTGCTGCCCTCTGGAAAGTGGCTTCACAGCATCCAATGCAGGTCCAGCAGATTCCAGAATAGTTTCTACCCCACTGCCATTAGACTGCTGAATGTAATAAAAATGGGTTATAAAAAAAACCATGAATGTTAGAACCGTAACTATACAGTGTAACTATGTTTACATCATTCATTTTTTTCACCACAGTGAGTTTTTTCATCAGTGTTTTATGCTTTATGCTTTTCTGCTTACCTTATCAAAGCTGCACACGAAATTTATTTTTCTATACACTTGTATGCACAAAATGACAAAGTAAAATCTCTCTCTAAGTCTAAGTTTAACAATGAAGAATACACACAAAGGTTGTGATTTATTCTTTTGCACTAGTTTGAAATCATGAAAGAAGATCTCTAGATTGATTGCAAACATGTTTACAATCTTTGTATCATTAATATTACTTTTATTTGTTCCTTTTTTTTTTTTTTTTACATTTTACCAATTTTCTTTTTAATTTTTGCGAGTTAGGTTCAGTTTATGCTTTTGCTTCTCTTTTTTTTCTAAATCTAGTTGTTTAGCATTGTAAGATCCATTTTATGCAGGTGTTTTTACTTAAATCTCTTGTAGACAGAAACCCCACATTGATATCTTCAGGTAACACAGAGTACATGTCAGACTTAATAATATTACTTTATC